ACATTGGAGATAAGGTCCACTCTAATTTACTATTGTGATAAATAGACTGTCTTATAGACGCTGTACCTACGTGTTACAGTAGTTTTTTTTACTTTCTATTTGCGAATTCGGTAGCACTGACCTACCGTAACGTCAGTGTAGATGATTGAAAAATTTGTTTAGGATTTCAATAATCGACCCTTGTCATGTCTACATCGTAATCTTAAGGTCATAGCTCATTACACCTACCCGACACCCTACCAAGAATTGGAGGGTACATCAAGAAAAAAAAGAGTGTGCTTTAGATCACACGTCACGATCAAATCACCGTCCGCGAACTACTGACTGAGATATATATATTTCATGCACTAGCGCAATGCTCTCTCTTGATCCTACAGTGTGATACAGACAATAGGCCTGCACTGTGTCTTAGATATACGAAACGTAACAGGCTATGAGAGAAAGAAAATGTGTGCACCTCTCTCTTGGCTCTACAGTAATATATGAAACGTGAGACTCTCTTTCTATCTTTAATAACTTATATCTCCCTCTCAACCTTCGTTCGCCTCGCCCGATGACGATTTTCGTAACGCATTCTGCTGTATGCGTGACGAGAGAGTTACACCCCAAGTCAAACGTGCGTAAAGAAGTTGTACTTCAATAAAGGACGATTTTTTTACTGATAATGGTTTATTGGCAAAAATTAAACATACAGATATTAATTAGATACGTCTGTAGATGATGACATAAATATAGGTATTAATTAGATAAACATGCTTGAATGGATGGTTTGAATCGGTTACGATTACGACTGATTTCTTTCTGATGGAAGGAAACCAATAAAACTTAATTCATTATAGGTACTTGTGTTGTGTTCTGGATATCTTAAAATAATTTTATTATTGTTTAATAAATATTGAAATTGATCGTCAAGGCCATGGCTCATGACGTATACAAGCTGAAAGAACCTGCTAAAAAAGCTAGATACCTACGTACCTGTATATTCGTCGTAATGTAAACAGACCTAAGTATATAAAGTGCATCACTAGCTCACTTCTAAATGCCAGACTTTTGAAAGGTGAAGGTACCTTACCTTTTTGACTAAATTACAGAAGAAATTGTGATGTCTAGTCAGTCCTTGGCAAAGACTGTTTTCATATATAATTATGTATTACTATTAACTTTGAGATGTTAACCACCACTATTAATGAAGATATTGGTCATATATACTTTGTCAGAAGTAGGTATGAAGGGCAGGCAGAAATCTGCCGGATGGAAAATTCAGCGCGATTGTGTTGGCACTAGGTGATAGGTTACAAAGGGCACATCAAACCAAATGAAGAAAAGTTAATATAAAATTTTGATGACGCGTTCGATTCATCATCATCAACAGCCTTTAATAATATAGTCCACTGCTGGACATACGTCTCTCCTTAGAAAGGAGGTTCTGGCCTACCTACTATAGGCTATACCACGCTGACCAGATGGGTCGGTATAGGGTGAGTGTCAAGTTTTCCATCTCTTTGCAGTGTTGTTTTCCTGCGTAGTTTCTCCCTTAGTCAGCTGTTACGACAACAACGGGGTGGCGACACTCCGTATTCTTGATCTGTCACCACACGAACACGTATTCTATTACAACTGGTCTTATTAGTATGATATTACATAATGACCACCAAGAAACGTAGCGCCTTTTGAGAGGCAGTGGCCTTCAGTTAGTGATTATAATACTTACATAAGTAATAAATAATTAGTATATACTGTTGTAAGTGAAAAAAGGGAATATTGTTTTTTTTTCGCTTAATGAATCAAATAATTACGAAAAAAACAATGTAGCACACATTACATATTCCATGTCTAATAGAATTATTATAGAACTTCTTACTTAGACAACTTCAGAAGCCTTTTACATATATTCATCATTGCCAAAGACATTTTACGTAAAGGCAAAATCGAAATACCACAGACCTATAGAGCCTCTGTGTCTAGCGTCTCGTGTCTTCTCTTTTGTAAAGGTGAGTCTACGCCACAGACAAGGCCGTCTTAGAGCTAATTGAGGGTTTTTTGATGAACACAAAGCTTCTTGACGTTTTGAGTGACAGAAGTTAAATCGAACATCATGGATATGTGGATTGACTGGATTTGTTTTTATATAAATTCGTAGATTCCCATCATCTTGGCGTTTTAACTTTTTATTGACTTCGGCTATAATAATCGCTACAGCAGCGGTGGCTGGTGCTGTAACAACAAACTCGTTGAAATTCGCCAAGAGACTCCGCTGGTAGTCAGCTCGCCTAGCGTCGACCCACCTTTAGCATTGCGATAAGTGATTGTTTTAGGAATAAGGAATAAAAGACGTTATGAAAAGCTTAATCTAGATTTTTATTTGTCGATTTAACGTACAGACGTAAGGCATCTTCCCACCTCATGTTATTGGCACACAAAACCTTTACATTCGTCTTTTACACAACACTTCACTGGTTACAATAATATCACTTCAAAACATGGAATGTATATAAACATAGGAATACCCAATCAACTACATTTTTTTTTCATTCGAAGTGTTTCGCCAGTCGTTCGTAACTCGAATTAAGCCAGATATTAAAATAATATAAAAAAATCAGGACTAGAGTTCTTTTTAAGTAAACGCGCCGTGAATCTCAGTAAAATATTTACATACAATTTTTTAAAGGTTGACTCAAAATTTGTGACTTTTCAACTGAAACTTACTTTAACGAGAGATTCTTAAGATAATTTGGTTGGGATTTGGTTTGTACTAAAATGGAAATAAAGATAAATGTAAAACACTGGACGTTATTGGCACTGCTTTCAGGCTAACTTAAAAATTAAACTACATACAAACATAGATATACATTTTGCCGAATATACTACATTATGTCGAATACTGCATAAAATACTGTTACATTCACGACGATTTGTTTCATAAATAATAATAATATAATTAAATTAAATATGGACGCAAAATAATTTCAGTTATTGCACACAAAAACAAAATAAAACCGAACAGTTGTAACAGACAAAATGTCCGTTGTTAACAATACAATGCTTTACTGGCCGAATAGCAAAGATATTATAAATCTCTTACAAAATCGTTTCCCTCCATCACATAATCTCGAAGTACCGCTCTGACTGACATTAGGCACTGTTTCGGGCTAACAATATTATCAAAGCTAATATTATTCAAATTGTCCGATATACATCTTAAATTTTAAATGTTATTTACTAATTGTGAAAAATTATATTTCCAAGCGTCCCCAAATGTATGCCTTCACGTGAACGGAAACTCAATTATTTCGATATTCAAATGATCCAGTGTTTTCTCGTACAGGAAGCGTAATATCGTATATAATATCAATTTTAGCTGGATATGCACACTTAGGATTTTCGCAAACTTCCGACTAGTATTTTTTTACCTAATTTACATTATGTGGGATATAAAAGCTGCTCACAATACTATATACTAACGTTACTATTTTGATATTTTTTTTTCAGTAAAAAATATCTAATATTTTGTACAAACTTGCATACAACTTAGTGATATAAGTTACATAATATATTAAATGTTAGTTTCAAAATATACACTGATTACGTTTCAATTAAAATATGTTTTTTTTTTTCATTTTTCCATCGCCTCACCGTCCGCGTAGACACTTATTATTATATTTGTACTATTTATAAATTTAACGAACTTATAAGAGCGCGCGTTAACGCACATTACACGCTGACTGTATATCAGCTTTATATCAGATATTTACAATTGTACAAAGTTTATTTTTGTGCCTAAACTGTCCTAAACCAGTACATAAATACCAATTTATGGTACATATTGGATATTTCTAAGACATTGTTCGTTTCAAACCAAGCCAAACTTTAAATCCTTATTTTTTTCCTTACGTTTAGTGATAAGACTCAGTTCATAATACAAGAACAATAATTCCTCACAGCTGCCCTGATAATCTCCTTAAATATTCATCTGAACTACATCACACGATAAGGATTTAACATTAAAATATTTTAGTTTCCCGCGATAGGCACTGTTATGAGCGATGCGCTTTACATCGACAGCTAAATACGCCTTATTATGACGAGGTATCATACAAAATGTACAATGGGAACTACGCATACATTAAATAATGAACACAATTATACATTAGCTTAGTGCAGTTTCTCGTAGCCGGAGACCTCACCGACTTTACTACATTAAATAAAGGTGGTGCATGGTCTGCCATATTGAAAATAATTAATTCGAACGTCTAAATGCTTTTTAATTGTCTGTAGATATGTATTACAATTGGAACACTGTTGGTCCCGTATAATTTTATATATATAAAAGAAGAAACAGATCAGAACAAACTAGAAGCATGAACTTTTGTACAAATGTTCCTTAGGAGGTGTGTACTACGAAAGGATTTTTAAAAATTCCACTCCTAAGGGTGCAAAACTCACAGTAAATACTCTTTAGTTTGTGTCTTCTTTTATACATATATCTTTAATCTTGATTCATTGTAGCGTCTACGATGTCTGATGTCGACAACCACGCGGAAGAAGTCACGGGCAAAAGCTAGTATTTAATATATCTCCAATGATGCACAGATAAAATAAGCCTAAAGTTGATGTTTTCATAGACAGGCTGGCACTCATAGACATTGGCTATATATGGACAGCCCTAATAGTATTAATGATTTAGTAGAAGTGAATAGATAACCTTAATTACAATTAGTATGAAACCAAAAGAGCGCCATCTAGTGGCACTTACAACTTCATACGAATCGTAATTAAAACTTAAAAAAAACATACGAGCAACGGAAGTCTAATTTCGTAGTGAGCGTAAATATAAGAAACAAGTAACAAGTGGATCGAGTGCATCCATGGTCCCGGCTACGTCACACACCAAAACTGCGTACAGTCACTGAAATGAATGTGAAGCGAAGCGTTCCACGCACTACCCGCAAGCGTATGTACAGGCGTCACACGAGGTAGTCGTCGAACTTGCGCAGCCTTCGCTACGTGTGAGGGGGGCGAGGGTCGAGCGCGTGGGGGGTGCGCGGGTCCAGCGTGTCGGGGCTGAAGCGCACTCGCGACATGGAGCCGCTGGACGCGTCGCGGGCCGACACGTACGAGCTGTCCGTGTCGCTGGGCAGGCTCGCCAGGCTGTCGGGCGGCGTGGGGTTGGGGGGGGTGCCCCCGCCCGAGCTGCCCCCCGACGCGCTAGACTTCTTGTTGTACTTCTTCAAACTCGACCTGAGTTTCGTCGGCGCCAGCTCCAGGCCGAGGTTCGCGGGTCGCTCGACTTCGTTCTTCTCTTGCGACTCCTGTCTGTAGAAGTCTCTCGGTAAGGAGTAGTCGGTGGATTTTCGGGGATACTCAGTCTTGGGTCTGTACTCGTCTCTTTTCTCTTTGCTTCTGTACTGTCTCGAGGGCGAGAACTCTTCCGGGTGAGAGTTCGAGGCCGAAGAGTTCGACGGTGTTCTTCTATGGGTTAAGTACTGTGGTGAGGGTCTATAATCCGGCGTGGGTTCTCTGTAGTCGTAGGAGCACTCGTCGTAGCCGTAGCACGGGTGCTTGACTACATAATCTGCCGTTCTGTCGTATGTGTAGGGCTCCGCTCGATAGTAATAATCTCTGTCCTGTGAGGGGGAAGGTTGGAAATTTTCTCTATAGTTGTGATATAAGTCTGCGAGATGGTCCGATGTTGATGAGGATGTTCTTCTGGGAGAGGGCGTGGGTTGCGTCGAGGTATAGTTGGTGCCGAGCCCGGAGGTGCCGGACAGCGGTTGAGCGGAGTGTCCGTATCCAGAGGATGATGATGGGTGCGCGTAGTGAGTGGGCGAGTCGGTGAACCGGATAGGCTTCTGTTCTTCAGTTTGGAGGCTCGATATCTGGAACGGGTAGAATTAATTTTAAAGAATAGTTACACTGATTCTTCACTCTTGACAAACCGTCTATAAAAACAAATCCTATAAGTGTTTCTGTTTCATTCGCATATCCCACTTACATGTCGCACCTTTATTCATAAACTGAATTAACTTAGAATTTCAATATTGTGGGAAATCGCATTTAAAGTTTGACATTCATGTACGTGCGAGTTCGTCAAAAAGAGAACGACGATCTCTTATCTCTGCCATTTTCATGGTATCGAGTCGGCTGTTGGATTGTTCGTGTTCTACTGATGAAGTTGATTTGGTATTTGTTGAAAACTCGAAAAACGTAAATTTTGAATTAATTCAGTTTATTATTAAAGGTGCGATGTATTGTATTGCATTATTATGATCTGAGGGTCTGAACGACTAGTATAAAATGCTATACAGTTAATAAAGTTCAATAGACATAGTAAACTTTAAGAGACGTAAAGACCCCACAATAAATACTAAACTAACAATCTCTATGTTGACGCTGTGTCAACTGTGGTACACTTTATGTGGGGCCTTTTGAGCTGGAGTTACACTTCATTAGCCTAGACCCTAGTTTAGTAACAGCCCTAGTAGGAACTAGGGCTGTTATTAAATAAGTCCTGTTTAGTAACAGCCCTAGTAGGTACTAGGGCTGTAACTAAACAAGAGTTTTATTATATTATAGTCAAATATATTTTTTATTTATATTAAAAAGACCTACACTTTTTATAACAGCTCTAAATAAAAAATTTGATCCTAAGTAGCTAAAATAATTGTGTCAATCACTAACAGGAGATCCAGTGATGGCGTTGAGGGGGGCCCGAAGGTGTCTGGTGGGGCCGTGGTAGGTGTTATGCGCGTACCCGAAACCTTCGTATACCGAAGAACTTAGGGGTTCAGGTTCAATTTCCGTTCTGAAAAAATATCATACAGTCACTAAAAAAAATATGTAGTATTGTATTATGATACAGAGTATGTAAATATGGAATAAAAATCTTGCTATAGTGTTATATTGTGGACAAGTCTCTATAGTATTATTGCAGTTAATGTTGCTTTAGTTATGATCATCCAAGAATCCTTCTGATATATAAAACGTGGAATTTGAAAAGCGCTACCTTAACGGGTTCAACTCCCGGACCGGACAAAATTTTATTTGGTTTTTATTAGAGAAACAATAGTCTACGTTATACCTTATAAAGACAGCTACCTGGAAGTAAAATATATCTAAATCGGTCAAGTCGTTTTGAAGATTACCAGGAACAACAGACAGACAGACAAAAAATGTTTAAACTGGTTTTTTAGGCATAGGTATCGCCTAAATAACCGTGTAAGCATAAAAAAAACTATTATTTTGACATTACAAACAGACACTTAATTTTTTTTTTTATTTATCTATTTGTTTATTTGTCTATTGTCAAAAAAACTCGAAAATTTCTACACTGATTAAGCTCAAATTTTGACACTATATACCATCTCCTTCAAATATTGTTTTTATCTAGTTTCCAGTTTTGTTTCCCATTTCTCATTAATATAAACCACTATGCGCCATATATAAATATATAAATTAAGCTTAATAAATAATTAATCAATACCTATCACTTACAGTGTTTCATTTCAAATACAAAGAGCTCTAGACCATAACAATAATCAATAATTTATTGCACATCACGGCGGTACAGAGATGTTACATTGGTTATTAGGGGAAAGTAACCAATATTGAACCGGCGCTTAAATTACAAAATGGTACAATTTTTTTACACTAGCAACACAAAAAGGAGCGTTACCAGCGCCTCTAATACTCCGCCATTTTGTAGCGCCCCTTTTTGTGCCAATATACTATACCAAATAGCGCCATTTTGGTCGAAATACAGAAGTGGCCCAAATTAAGGGCCGGTTCAATATTGGTTACTCTCCCCTACCGTGCTTTATGGACCCCGTCGGACACAGCACTGTAGAAGAGTAGATAAAGTTTTTGTTTTTAAATCTTATTATTTACTTTGCAATAGGCCAGGCATAATAATAAAACGGAACAGAAGTATACTCAAGTGGTAAGTGGTGTGTGTAATAGGAACATTTCTTACCTATGTGGCTGTAATGTAGGATGGAGAGGGCTAACATTGGACATTCTGACGTCATATCCGGCCGCCACCCCGCCCAGTAACGCCGCCATGTTGTATAGAACTAATTCTATTATACTTGGCTTTTTGAACTTGTAACCTGTAACATAAATTAAAATCTACAAATCTATTTAGACTGCTTTGACGAAAGCAAAATGATTGAAGAAAAGGAGTTTGAATGCACAGATTGCGTAGTGCTTTAAGGGGTCACATCGCCGCTTCCTACTACGCTGAGTGTTGTGGGTTCGATCCCCACATTGGACAACACTTTGTGTGATACAAAAATTGTTGTTTTAGAGTTTGGGTGTTCTTTGTGTTCGGTTCATGTGTGTTTGTAAGTCTCCCGCGACACAGGAGAATATTCCTAGTGTGGAAGTTGTCAAAAAAATTGTATTGTTATTGGCATTCCTTGGACAGAACAGCCTATAATAGTGATGCACAAAATGTATCAGTGAGCTGAAAAGACATATAAAAAAAAAAGTTAAGTTTATTGTGTCAAATACTTATTACACAGATAGTAGTGTTCAGAATTTTCTTTTAAGCAAATAATGCTTGTATCCACATATTACATAGCATGATTTTTAACACAATAATTTGAGATATTAAGGTAAACTATTTGGAAACATTATTTCAATTACAAAGTGATATAAATTATTTTTACTTAGAAATGGTTGTGTGCGTGCGTGCGTGCGTGCGCGTGTGTGTGTGTGTGTGTGTGTGTGTGTGTGTGTGTGTGTGTGTGTGTGTGTGTGTGTGTGTGTGTGTGTGTGTGTGTGTGTGTGTGTGTGTGTGTGTGTGTGTGTGTGTGTGTGCGTGCGCGCGCGCGCGCGTGTGTGTATATATATACATATCATTTCGCTCTAAAGATATATATCACTCATCTAGCTCCCTAGCTCATTTAGCTCACTAGCTCAGTAATCCAATTCAATTGATTGGTCTCTCATTTGATTTATTTCTTCACCTAGATCGATTGGCTCAGTATGTATCACTCACTTCAAGCCTCTCTCGCCCATACAAACCTTTCTTTATTTGCCTATTAACCTAAATTCAGTTCTTGGAACTTCATTTTTAACCTATTATTTTTAATACAATTTTATTCATTTTTATAAGATTACATAATTATTAACACCCTTTCATAAAATAATTAAATATAAAAAAAATCGTATAATTCATTTTTTTTGTACCTCTTTTTTGGTTGTATATTAGAAATCATACATAATTACATACATATAAATAGATTTTCCTTATACTTGGCAGGCTTAATTCTCAAATAATCTAAAATAATGTACATTTTGTATTAAGAAACATAGTATGAACTCAAACATCATCTATCTCGGCGTCGTTGAGCTAGTGAACTAGTACTGAGTTACTGATATAATCGGAGCTAGAGTGAGTGAGTGATACATTTTATCGATGTGAATGATATACACGGTGATTTTGAAAGCGTTTTGGAAAAGAAAATTTTGAGTTATTTATCAGTAACAGAAGCTATATATAACGTTAATTTAATAAAATATATATATTTTTTATCATCAAAGTCGATATTCATATCGATTACAGAGAAAAAGTGAGAACCAGTAGTAGGGCTTTTCAATCGCAAGTAGGTAAATACTACGAATAGAAATACTATACTCACGCGCAAGGTCAAGGACGTTTAATTATTATTCGCCGGAGTGTAGTGCGTGCATACCTGGACAATGAGTTTAGTGATCGGTGGATAGGTCGAGGAGGGCCAGTGCCTTGGCCACCTAGAAGCCCGGACTTAACGCCCCTGGATTTCTTCTTATGGTCGGAAATAAAAATACTTGTTTATACACGGGAATATGAAAGCCGTGATAATTTACGCATTGCGATAATGGACGCTTTTCATAAAGTGAAAAGTGATAGAGACACATTAAGAAAATTAAAAAACAATTGTATTAAACGTGGACGTTTGTGTATTGAATGCAGCGGACTCCATTTTGAACAGTTGCTTCGATACAGAGAAGTGTAAATAGTGTAAATAGGTATGTAAGTTAATTATTCTGTAGATAGCTCCGATTTTTTAAATACGCTTGAAATATTTATACCTACAGTCCGTTGATAAATTGATTTGTCGTGAAAAGAACAATCGTGGTTAATAATCGAAAAGAAGTTTAAATAAAATAGGTATTTCCGACGATCCTAAGCCCGTGTAAAGTATGAAGGACAAATTGGAGTCTATCTACGTAAGTACTCGCTAGCTCGCGCCTATAGGTATAGTTTTATCAGCTGCTGTTAGCGTCAGCGGTGCGCAGCGGCCGCCGAAACGCCCACGGACGTGTTTCATTCATCTTATATGAATGAAATGAAATGAAATAATGAATGAATGATCAGTCCATTACTACTTTCTAAGTCGATCGAGTAAAAATGAATATTAAAACTGAAACTTTTTTTTAGACAACATTACAATTGATTTAATCATTTTTATTGGTACTATAGATGATTCCAAATTAAAATGTTTCGTTTCCAAAACGCCTAAAAAATCACCGTGTATATCTTTAATATCACTCACTCAGGAGCTACACAACCCTAGCCATTAATAAACTAATGCATTGGTACTGCATCATCTATGCTGTAGAGTACTGAGATACTGTAGTATCAAGAACTATGTCCTTTTTTCTATTAGTATGCATGTATTATTAAGGCTTATTTAGGTAAATGAAAATGAAATTTTGGCAAATCAATTTAAACTAGTATGTATTTGATTTATAAATTTCTGTATGTGATTAGCTTATGTAAATTATTCTATACTGGTTATGTACAAGGCTGCTACCAGTAGCTACCCTAACCTATGACTAAATTCATCTAAAGATTCATAAGCCATTTTTTTTTTTAAATAAGGATTTACACAAGTTGGTTAAGCCGGGAAGTAACCCTAGGTTATCCAACTTGGTTTTTAAATATTGATTTAACGGGGATATTAATTTCGATTTATTTTAGAGGTGAATTTTTAATCTTAAGAAATAAAAGAAAGTTGTTTCAGACTGTTTACCTGTGACTGGGTTAAATTTTCGTGTTTATTTGGTAAATTACAATCTTTTTCCTAATACATTCCACAAAGGGTCAGATATTTTGAAATAAAGAGACTACTTATATCAAAACGCATTAAAGCAACTTTATTTGTTAGAGTTATAATATCAGATTTACTATGATAAAATTTCCGGGAAGCATATATTATGCACCTTTTTCAGAAAATATATAAGTATGTTTATCAGCAGTCGGGTTACCACAGTACCGGCTTTGCCTAGTTTAGGATCAGATCAGTGAAATATTATATTATTATTATTAATGTTAAAGGAAGCATATGTTGCCAAGCCCAGTCGTGGGAATAAGTTACCTTCAGTGGTGTAGAGTGTGGGCATGGGCACGGCGTACCTCGAGGCGGCTGCGAGCGGGAACTCGGGGCCCCAGTCGTCCGGACTGAAGTCTGTGTAAGGAAGAAAACAACCTATGTGAATGGAAAACATAGGTGCGTTAGTTGTGTGAGTGTCCGCGTCACATGTCAATATTGTATCACATACATGCTTTGTTTACTTAAGAGGGACGTTAAAGTGTCTCTGTCAAATGAATTTGAACCGTATTGTTTGCATCATAGATATAAAGATTTTAATAATGATTCTACTGTAGAAAAAAGTTTATTATAAATAAAGATATTCCTGTAAAAGATTATTAATGAAATCTATATCTACTCAAGAAAATCGATGTATCGACTAAAAATGTTAAAAATAAGTTTAAAAATAACTTCAAACGGGTATATTATTAAGGACAAATAAATGAAATGAAACCTTATTCAATACGAAATGTAGTTCATATTAATTTAAAATCAAAACTAAGCAGTAAGGACAGTCATGAACATATTATAGACTGCTGTATGAGGAAATATGAGCTGGTATTAACGTCAATTGTGGTTTTAAACAGTGTATAAATAATTTTATTTAAACAATATTGATGATAACAAATGGCAAAATAATATTTTACAATAATTATTTTTCTATTTGTTCTAATCATGCAATAAAATGTCAATACTACACATGCCAAACAGTTCATTCTGTATAGCTTAAATAAGCAATATAATTTAAATAAAACAAACAAAAAATAAAAAACAAAAAATCTATTATACTTACGTATGCAAATATTAATTTTTATAGCACTTTTAACTTTAAAAAATCGTATATTTTTGTTAATAACTTGTTATCGTTTTCAACCTTACCCGATTAGCCATAGTGAGATAGCATAAGCTTTTTACCTTCACCGATTTTTAATCTGTTTCTGTTTTTTTTTCTAATTGTCTATGGCTCTTTTACTTTTTATTTATTTAATTGTTAAGGGGTTTCGTTAGTAACTATTGATTAGTAAACCCATGTTAAAAAAATACACCAGCTTCGATTTTATGGACAAGGTTTATTTGATATATAAAAAAGAATCTATATAACTATGAAAGAACCAGATCACCGAAGAGCTATCTTCTTTTTTTTACAAAATGTTTTTGAATGTCTTAAAATTATTAAGGGTTGGGTTGTCTTAGTGTCCCGTTAGACGTGATGGAATCCAATCCAAAAAAAGTATTTTTTTTCCTTAAATATTATATGTACTTAAAAAAATGATATGTACGTTATAAACGAAGATTTTAATAAAATGATATTTATTTTTTATCAAACTTAAGTATTAACGATGCTGGTACTGTGACGCTTAATCAAAAATTCGATCTCCAATTAGTATGAGAAAGAGAGATAAATATGCAATTGCATTGTGTAAAAGCAAGACAGGACACAGACAACCCGTGCCTCTGTGACGTCATTTGACACGTAAGCCTCTCGATCGGGTAAACGTAATACTATTGCCACCACCGTTGCAGGAACATTGTTACTCAAGGTTACAGGGATACATTTGTACTCTGTACATACGACATACTACTACTTGGAGGCCTTTATGATTATAAAATAAAACTGAAATTGCAAAAAAATTGTCAATGAATATTTCAAATCATAGTAACAAAAAAAAAAGTTGACTCATTTAACAGCTATTCAAACAATAAATGTAAAAAAAAACAAAATTCGCAAGAAGCATGAATAAAACCATATAGACTTCCAAATACAAGTTATTAATCTGAATCATTGTAAACATTTGAAAGCGTGCCAGAGAAGCAAAATTCAATAAAAAAAAACTAACAAATAAGTAAGTACAACAGATATATATATACCTTACATGTATATAGCATATACTATGAACTGATAAGCATGCATAGCACTTATAGATAACATGTTTAAAATTATAAAAAAAAAATGTTGGCTGAAAGCAAACAAATGCTTACAATTTACAAACGATAAAAAAAAAAACAAATGTCAAAACTGATGCTAAATATTACCATATTGATAATTACAAATTGCAAAATAAGGCCAATCGCTGATAATAAAAAGATATGTATTAAGACTATTAAATGTAATAGTGTTTTTATTTTCTTCTGGTCGTATGAAAGTTCTAAGATCCTCGATTGGCCAACGTTGCATTTATGGGACTATATCTAGCACACATCTGAGTATCACACGTTGGGACACAACAATCTACATTACAATCAATTCTAACTGGTACATCTAACTTATAATAATGTTCCCTTACATTTGTCACACTACTGTACGTTTTGTGACACGGAGTTGTGAATGCACTCTGATTGTCTCTATAGATTTGCAGCTAATCCATGGTCAATACAAAATTATTTTTCATTTTTTTTTAGAAATCAAAGACAAATTGAAATATAAATGCTATTATAATGCATGTAATGCAGACCATAAAATTATATCAAAATAACTTTTTAAATCTAAATACAAAAATAAATTTCTTACAAAAATATGTGTTATAAAAAATTATAAAGCAAAATAAATTTAAAAACTCAATGTGTACATCTGTTATTTTTATTAAAGAATTAGTTGCAAATCTTGCTCCACCATAATTTAATGGTAAAAACATAATTTCAGAATGCATTCAAGAAAATATATATTTTTTTAAATAGTAAAACATACTCACAAGGATACAGTAAGTTGTCCTGGGAAGTTCCTTTAAACGCAGCAATGAGAAAAACACAAACAAAATGGCTGACGTAAACAAATAATTTACTAAAATGCATATTCATACTTTATTTTTACTTCAAAATAAACAAGTCACAATGAAAAAGACATCAAAAAAGTTTTTTTTTTCTATGATTTTATGTAAAGTTTATGATAAAGTAAAGTTTAATAAAAGCTTTCATAGGGTTTAAAAATTGATAAAAGAAACGCAAGACATTTCCAATGTCACTTGTTTATTTATTAATACAATTTGGCAAGATCCAAAATAGAATTCTCGGTCAGTCAAAGTCACAGTACAACAATCCAAGTCTTTTAACATTATAAATAAAGTCCCTAAACAAATTAACTAACTAAAGATAATTTAATAACTATTACGTCTACTTTCCTCTTTAAATGCTTTGACTGGATACCGTAATTTTACTTTATTACCGTCCCGTATACCGATTACCACACCATTTAAATAATGTTTGGCTAAGTTTTGTCATTCTCTTTTTGTATTTTAAATAAAGACGGGATAAAGGTGTATCAGTGAGGAAATACATTGCAAATATTTAATTTACAATGAGATTCTTGATTATTTTAGTGAATAACATTTAAATTATAGCAAAAAATTAACTAATACAGTTGCTTGGCCAAACAATACTCAATATGGCTACAGAACTGCAAATCGTCCGAATTTATAATAAAAAGTCCATCAGTTAAAGAATAAAGAAAGTAGTTCATTTTGTGTAAATTCTGGAATTTTTGATCGTTTGATGTCCCACATCCGTATGTTTTCATTTATGGGAGAGTAAAACTTGATATGAATCTGAGCGGATATTGGTATTTAAGCCTACATCTTAATATTATAAACTAAAAAAATAAGTCTTTTAAAAATGTTTACAAGCTAATCTTACGACTACTTTCAATTCCATGGAACTTCTTTATCTAGTAAGTATCATATTTACAATTAGAAGAGACGTTTCAACTGTTTTTTTAGTCTCTTTAGAAAAGGTATTCGATTCGCGTCGAGTCAGTTTCGTGTTTTATATTAACTCGTTTTTCGTAAAAAGAACGAAGCGCATATTTTTCGGTATTCGAAGTCATAGTTTGCGGTGCAGTTTCGTCGTTAAACAAAAAGCGTATAGCGAAGGAAACGCTACCGAAGCGCGCGCGAGGAAGCGTCAGTGAGAAACGATATGTTTCAGATATGGCAACATCTCGTATTGGCCGTAGACGGCATAAAAATACTAGGACACCCGACGCGTCAAAAACGAACACCGTGGAGCGGTTTTTTTTTTTTTGCATTTTTAGGTTAGTGCACCGCAAACTAGTCGTCCGCAAGTAGTTCGGCGGTGTCGGCGGCGAGCAGCCCCACGCTGTTGGAGCGCAGCGGGCGCAGCAGCGGCAGCGCGGGGGGGGGGCGGCGTCGGGCGCGCCCGCGCACCGCGAACACCGCCTCGTACTCGTGCGGCAGCTCGCCCGCCGACGTGAACATGGGGCACAGGAGGAACCTGTTGCGCCGCGGCTCCGCGCCGTCGGCGAGCAGGTCGTCGTGCGAGCCGGAGCGCGCGGAGGGCGCGGGGCGGGCGGGGCGCGGGGGCACGGCGGGCTTGTTACCTGCGGCGGAGCGCGTGGCGGGCGGCAGGTCGGGCGCGGAGCTGGAGAAGCGCGCGTGGCGCGGGCGCGGGGCGAGGGGGGCGAGCGGGCCCAGCGCGCCCGCGCCCGCGCCCGCGCCGAGCGGCAGCTGCGTGCGCGAGCGCTGGTGCACGGTGGACGGGCCCCACGTCTTGCCTTTCACTCCGTCCGCGGGCACTGCAATATGAGCGACCCGTTTAACAAAAAAAAAAACATTGTAGTTCTCAAACCGACCCAGAATTATTGTTAGAACCGATCGCTCGGCTCGGCTCGATGGACCATCCGATCGCACATCCTTTACTGTAATTCTTTAACGAAACGTCCAATTTATACTTTTCGAATCACCGATTCAAATTTTTTTTTAATAAATGAATATATGTTATTTTATTTTACAAGTTTTTTATTATGTTCGAGCGGTAACGAGCGTGTACTGACGGGCGATGGCGCGCATGATGGCGGGCGAGCCGGGCGGCGTGTCCTTAGCGACGGCCACGAGCTGCTTGACGCTGGACTCGTCCTCGGAGGGCCGCACCGTCAGCGTGTGGCGGAAGTCCAGTGGCGAAGATATCGTATCCTTCTTTAAGAGCTTTATTTTACTAAATTTGCCTGCAACAAAATATCCCACATATTATTTACAAGTTTTGTGAGCATCACTACTACCAATGCTTACAATATGCAAATGTTTAAATGCACACACTTACGAAACTAATACGATAATAATACCACCACCATCAAAACGCTTGTTGGATTATAAAATAATGGTAAAAATAGGATAGGCCCATTACATTGTATTATAAATATGTAATCAAACATTGCCGCTATTTAAGTCCGTTTTAGGGCATGACTTAACGATTGTTTTTGCTGAGTGCCGCCAAGAAAACGAAGCTTACCCTTCCGTTTATTGGGCTGTGGCGGTTGGTTGTGCGACATGTTACTCGCGAATATTAGTATATGAAGCTCCCTGGCCACCAGGTCGATCTCTCTCATTTCTAGTTCTCGCTCCTTCTGCGCCAGGTTCTGTTCCATGAGTCTTTGTTTCAGCTGGGCACGGGTCAACTCCTCCTCTCTACATCGTAGCTCCTGGAAGGAAGTATCAGATTTGTTAGATATTTTTAAAATGAAAGATAGATAAAACTTACTTAACTAGAATTAGTTTTTAATAATGACTTTATATTAATTGCTGGCTAAGTTCTGGTTAACTTGTAGTGAGCGAATATTTCATTTACTAGTTCAATACGTAAAAAAATTAAGAAAATTTGAAGTTTTTAAATTAATAATATTTACACATATAAGAGTAAAATAGACCTTTGCTTACGTTTGTTATGCTTTGAGAATTTTGTTTATAGCTGTTTCAATGCTGTAATTCTGTGTTTTATACTTGCAAAAATTTAAGAGCTTTAAATACCAGTGATGAGGGTTATGTTCACATCATCAGCCTATAATAGTCCACTGCTGGACATAGGTTGTGTTCACATACTAGTAGTTAATTAAGATCATAGTAATTTTATTGTAATATGAAGTAGAATGGAGGAAACCTAGTCTTAATTTTTTTGGCTGTTTGTATGAGTAATTATTAGTGCCAATAGGATATAAATTTACGATAACAATAGCAGTATATAATCAACAGGTAGTTTATATTTGCAATAATAATATGATAATTCAAATATATAGATAAAACATAATATTACAAATAAATTTCTAAATTTACATATACTTGTGACAAGTTTTTATGTAATAAGGTAGAAGTTAAATAAAAAAAAATACAGTAACGGACTATTGGTTATGAAACTTACTACTAAAGGTACTAAAGGATCGGCAGTACGCAATAAAGGTTAATTTTGATTTGTCTATTGTATGTTTAAGTAAAACTTTATTTGTGTCGTAACGTTTTGTTTTGGGTAACCGCTGTTCTTATTGATTTAACTGCGGCGGCAGCAGCTCATGTCTGCTAACAATGGAATTATTTTATAAGGTAATCTGTGGAAAATGTAGTGGGTAGTATATTAGTTAAGTTTAGTTATAAAGATTTCATATGTATATTCATTATACTATTGTTTATTTTCCCAAATAAATAAAAAAATAAAAAAATTGTGGATGTTTCAACAATATTGGGGGCAATGTGATAGTAAGAACAGTGTTGCAGAGTGACTTAAGCATAATAAATACATGTAAGGTACGGTGCAACGAAAACCTTTAACAATCTTCTTTCTGTGGATGATTTGTCATAATGCAAATGTCAGTTTACCAAAATGCGACATTAAATATTTATAATGATTAAGTATGATAAGTAGGGGTTATACAATAATCGTGCTGCTCAATATACTAAGTTAACTCATTGCAAAATCTTACAACTTGCAGGTATTTGAGTGAAAAACACGTAAGGTCAATGACCTTTCACGCTGCAATAATTAATTATTACATAGCATTCGATATTATGTGCTGCTTATTAATGTTGTTCACCAGATTCAATAGGTTACTCTATTTAATACCTTTTAAACCAAAAAAGTGAAATTTCTAACCATATTGAACTCAGAATACCAATCTGAATATCGGTTTTCGGTACACCTTTCCTTACAAACTGTTGATAATTATAACTAAACACTTATACATATGATAACATCAGACAATAGTGCTTATTCTGTTGTTCAAAAACTCTCTAAACTAAACTAAAAATCACTAAAATTTAGTTCAGAACTGTGAAGTACTACGTATTAGAATACGAAACGTTATTTGACAGGTCTAAACAAATTTTTAGTGATTTTTAGTTTACTTTAGAGAGGTTTTGAACAACAGAAATAGCACCATTATACAAGAGAAATCTAAAAGTATCACTAACCTCCTCTATCGTTTTGCATTCCTATTCGCAAGCATTATGAATGAAAATAGATATAAATTAGTATAAATTTTAGACGAGCTTTAGTGGCGATTAGCATAAATAAAACGTGTTCTTTTTTGACATATTGTGATAACTCTTTAAGGACTAATTTTTTTTTTTTTTAATAAATACTTGAACATTGTATGTTGCATGTACAATAAATGTCTTGTCAAAACATACGAGTAGTCTTCTGATGTCTATTTCCGTTGAATAATAAATGTGCTGTAACCATTATTCAATGGAAGCAAACTCACACCCATGCAAAATGGTTGTTTAATCAATCGTTAATCATCAAAAATATGATAAAATATTGTTTGTTCTACTTCTTATAAACCAATTGTATTTGTTTCACATAGTGCAGTAAGCTTTCGGGTATTTGATTTGACTCATTAATGTTTTGTGGCAAGCAACATGTGGAGCAGTATATAAATCAATAGTTACTGTAGTTTTAATACACAACATGTGCATATAATAATAATATTCTACCACATTCATACAACGCCATCTAGTCCCAAACTAAGCAGAGCTTTGACTATGGGTACTAGACAACTGATATAAATACATTTATCCTTTTTTTTGTAAATATATAAATTTTATACATAGAGACACCCAGACCAAATCAAACATTGAATGTTCATGCACACAAATGTTTGACTTGAGCGGAAATTGAGCCCGCGACCTTTGGAATAGAGGCCGTAACACAAACCACTACGCCACCCGGTCTTCATATGTATTCATATAAAGGTTCAGTTAGGACATGATTTTCGAATTATTAGAACCATTTTTAATTTATTTTTTTTCTATATATATATTTTTTTTTTTTTTTCTAAAAAAGACAACGCCCGCATTAGGTATAAATCCTGTGTCGCGGGGGACTTTACAAACATACATGAAACGGACACAAAGAACACCCAGACTCAGAACAACAATTTGTGGATCACACAAAGTGTCGTCCCATTGAACCCACAACACTCGGCGTAGTAGGAAGCGGCGTGGCGACCGCTTAAACCACTACGCCATCCGTGCAGTCAATATATTGTAATTGTTTATATGTTAGTTAGCGACATGCGACATTTTCAACGAATTTAAAGTGTTTATGAGAATAAAAATGACAACATTGGAGTGCTAGCTAAGCCTGGTGTTCAAAATAGATAATGAATTATAAATGTGACATTATCTGTTATAACTGGTAATTATATGTGACAATTGAAATGCGTATGAAATATATACATAGTATGTACTATATATTGTACATTTCTTACTATACTTTATCTATACAAATAAATAAAACTGGAGTGTCTGTTTGTAATATTAAAATAACCGCTTTTTACTAAATGCATATGTATGTTTACCCGGTACATATGCCAAAATATCATTTTTTTAAATTTTTGACTGTCTGTCTGTCTGTCTGTGTGTTCCGGGTAATCTCTTCACTCTTCACTTTCACTGGCAGATAGCTGATGACATAAGGAGTAACTTAGGCTACTTTTTTTAGACTAGCTTCGCCCCGCGGCGTTGCCCGCGGTTATAACAACAAACGCGGGTAACACCGCGGGTCTCAGCTAGTCTAAACTAAATTGGAATACGATAGAAATTGGCAGTTGACAAGTTATTCTGACTAATATTTCTAAAACCATAAGGAATATTTCAGTAATTCTTGATTGCATAGAACATTGACGAAGAATATTTGTAACGCCACAGTAGGACCATTAGAAGTGGATTTATTAAGATAAAACCAGAGAAACTGCTGGGAACGGTTCGTATAATATTTTTTAACTCCATGTTTTAACCTTATCGTCTTAATTAATACTGATGATAAAAGTAATAAAGTATCTGAGTAGTGAGAAATAGGTTCGAGTTGTGTACTAAACTACTAAAAAGCAATAGTAGTAATGGTAGGTGTAGAAAAATTTAAAAAGAGAAGAAAGGGATATCTTATGACAAAAAAAGAAATTGACATCGTTTAACTGTCATACCAATTACTACATAGAATATGGAACTTAACAATTGAAGTTTTAATTCAATGGAAATTTTTACTTTAATAATAAGGTTTATAAACCTTAACGCGTGTCGACTGTAATATAACAGTAACCAACCAATATAAAGAAGATTTAAGATTATTCATCAAACACTACGCTACCTTCTCCTTCCTCCGTAGATCCCGAAGCACTTCTTCGATCTCCAGCCTCCAGCCATCCTGCATGGTGTGGAAGGACTCGTGGGGCGCGCGCGTGAATTCAGACTGTTTGATGCAGTCGAGTTGGTCGAGGATCTCGGGGAACAGTGGCCGTTCGCGAGGGTTCGAGCGCCAACAGGCTGAAACAAAGCATGTTTTTATCGGCTAGTGTATGGAAATTACAAGACTTTGTATCACATCACACATCAACAGCCTTTAATAGTCCACTGTTGGACATAAGCCTCTACTTAGAAAGGAGGTTTTGGCCTACTATACCACGCTGGCCAGACGGGTTGGTATAGGGTTTGAAGTTGTCCTTCTCTCTGCATCTCTCTCTTCTCTATTTTTTATCATTTTTTAAATCTGTGATCAGCGTCATTTAAACGTGCCATAAAAGTTGTTTTAAGAGAAATTTCATTAGGGGCGAAATTTGCTTGCAACAGATTTTTGTTAAATGTATGTGTTGACTACCATAAAATTAAGTGCAAGGTGTTTTTTTGACTCCGACCGACCGACGACTTTCGGTTATTTAACCCGTTTATATGCCCGTTGTTTCTGAAACCTTGTGTTATTTATTTGTCTTTACTTGTAATTTTTTTTATAGATGTTCATATGTTTTTACCGATCATAAATTTTTAACATTAGGTATAAAGATTTACTGTTAACACCTAGGATATAATACTATAAGAGCTTATACAGTAACATATACAAATCTGTAAAAACTGAAATCGATTTGTGGATACAAAGAAATTATATTGATATCTCTTAAAAATCGGATATTGTAGCCTTCGATATCTTTCGACGCCTTCCGTATTCTTTAATCTCTCAGAACTGGCAAACGGTACCTCTTAGAAAAGTTGGACTATAATGTACATAGTGAAATGCTTCCTATATATTTATACGCGTACAAAGAATTATATATATATATATTGCAATTTCATTATATATATAATTCTTTGTACGCCTTTTTAAGAAAATTATCGGCTTTTCGGAACTTGAAATTGGGAATCATTAGTTATGTATTGTGTTGTAATGTAGAAAATTATAATTTTCAAACGAGTTTCAACTTCAATCAAACAAAAAAAAAATTAACGAATTTAATGTATTTGGTTCTAATTTGACCTCCCGGCGGTCCCTAGTTCATATATTTCATTACAGGATTTTAGAATATGTATATAACTAGCTTGCCTATAATCATTTTCTAGGATGATCCTAGTTTCAAGGGTGTTTTCGCAACGACCCTTACCCCTCGAAAAGTACAGCGGTTTTATACGACCTCCAATACAAATAGTCCGTTGTGTTGTGTGGAGTTAGTGTAATGGCTAAGGCGTTGGATGTGATTAAGTAGTTGCGGGTTCAATCCCCACCCAGTACTACTCTACCGACGTGATCCCATACATAACACAAACATTCAGCTCAGCTGAGGAGGTTATACAAAAATACTATTAATGTGTGGCCCACATTACTAATATCCTATATTTAGTAAAAGGGTCTTACCTTCCATAAGAACCCTCCAAGGCTCGGGACACGTGCTAGGTATAGGCAGAGTTAGCTTGTTGACGGCGACTCCGTACGCTACGGCCAGCGCGTCAATGCCCTTGTATGGTGTTTCTCCCGTAAGGAGCTCCCATAGCAGCACACCGTATGACCACACATCAGATGCATGCGAGAACGTCGAATGTTTGATTACCTGAAAACATACCAAAAAAGTTTTGTAACTACTGCTCGTGAAAACCTTGAAAATGTCTTTGGAAAGAGCATAGAGCATCTGTCCGTGTAGTGACGGATTAAGAATACGGAATGTCACTACCCCAATTCATCCCGTGGGTGTCGTAAGAGCCGACTAAGGGCGCAAAACAACGCAGGACACCAGCACTGCAAAAAGAAGGAAAACTTGACACAAACCCTATACTAAACCGTCTGGCCAGCGTGGTATAGTAGGCCAAAACCTCCTTTCTAAGGAGAGGCCTATGTCCAGCAGTGGACTATTCAAGGCTGTTGATGTGATGATGTGATTGATAGAGGCATAATTAGAATCTAGGATAGAATAAGGTGACCATTCTTAACACCTTGCCTTGCCTCGAAGATCACTTTAGCTGTCGGTGGTGGTTGCCATACGAACATCTGTGGCAATCGTTACGGGCAGTTGCAGCCTTAAAAAGTCTAACAACAGTCTTTCTACAGAACTTCGATAGCGCTTAGAACTTAAGATTGTGGTGGACTGCTCACTCCGCGTAAACAATCAAGGTTAAGCCTTATCATAGTAGACTTAAATCCGACCTCAATCTAGTTTGGGAAAAAGGCTCCGACGAAGAAGAAAGCAATAATTAGACACGGTCAATAAAGATACAAGTCCAAGAGAGATTGCGATACGCAAGCTGCAAGCGAAACTGATGGTTTCAAGGAAAATGATTTCGAGCAGGACGATATGCAGCCTAGGCAACTAAAGACAATATAGCATAATTTAATATAAAAGAGTCAAATTCTCTGTTTTCTCTTGTACCTACAGCATCATTTTTCTACATCACCCGAAGGTCGACTGCAGAGAATGCCCTGGGCATTAAGTCTGCCTGTGTACAACTTGTGCATTAAGTTAAATAAATAAAAAATATAACACCCTCCTTTGAATATGCAGTACAAAACAATATCAGTTCTTTTGTTATGTGTATCTAAAGATTATAATTTTACCCTTTGAATCCAAGGACTAGTTAATAAACTTTCGGTAAAACGTAAGTTGTTAAGTTTTACGCGAAGGTAGAGAAACAATAAATGGGTTCAGCCTCAGCAATGTGCTTGTACTCCAGTCTTAGAATAGAAGCGACCGCAGACAGACAACAATGCAATCGAATGCAAGTGCAGGTCGCAATGCAAGGCAATAATAATAACACAACGAAAGCCTCTTTAATAAATGACAGGCAGCGTTACTAATTAAATAATATCATAACTTTTTTATTTTCGATTGAATTGGGATACGCTACAAATACATATACATGTCGTTCACTATTTGGACGTAATGAAAGATATCTATGTTGTAACACTCGAACGCTGTACTAATGGAAAAAAGAAATATTTTTTTTTACTAGAAAGAAGGTTTGAAGATAGTGGTGATGATATACCAACGAGGTACAGACGTAGTAACCAGATACGTTAATGATATGCGAAACAGCTTTTTAAGTATCAATTAAGCTTTACTGTGGTAATGTATGTTCTTATCTACTTAAGTATAACAAAGAATAGTGTTTCTGTTTATAGATCCATGCGATATTATAATGGCATAGATCGTGAGCAGGGCTAGGTCAACTACCAGAGTCTGGCAAAACTTAACCTATATTCAAGATGCAAAAGCCGTTGGCTCTGAAGTGGTACGCCTCTTTTCAGATTTAGGACGATAAATACATTGGTTCATGGCTTCATCTTGTAAAGAGTTATATATCAACTATTGAAATACAAATAGTTTAGGAGACAATAGATTTTCTTTAAACAAAATTACAAACGCGATTTGAAAAAAGTTATCGGACTTGTGACCAAGAGGTTGTGGTTTTGACTGGACTTAGTAAACTACTGATACTAGCTATTGCATGCGGCTTCGCTTGATTATTTTTTATTTCGTGTTTATAACTTTGAAAATAACGAACTTCCATGCAACCAAAACTCCTTTCTTAAAGGGTGCTTACAAGTTGTAACATAAAAAGCATCAGCTGCTTTACCGTTTCTATTTCAAGCTCTTAGACCCAGCGGTTTGGGCTCGGTGTTGATGAGTCAGTCAGTTACTCAGAACAATATTTTTTTATGTATAGATAAACCCAGTGCTAATATGAGTACCTAGCTTAACTGGATGCTAAAAGAATACTAGTAATATGCTGGTAGTATTATTCGGTTTTATTTAAAAATAAAAGAAACTTGTTTCCCGTTAAGATCTAGTTACAAATTTAATATTTAGTTAGTGTAGCGACTGTAGTAACCACTGCTCATAATAGTGCATAATTGGGTCAATTACCTCAGGTGGCATCCAAGCGTACGTCCCCGCAGCTGACATCCTCGTGGTCTTATACACTTCCCTTGCCAGTCCGAAATCCGTTATCTTGAGCGTCTTGTCCTCTAGCGTGTCATCCGGTAGAATGGCCTCGCTTAGTAGAACTGAAAGTAGAAAAATATTGGTTTTACTTGGGCAATGATAGGGCACTTTTTGAAAGACTGCTTAAAATCTTACGATACGAAATAAACAAAGGGACAGGCTACCATTCTAGGCTTGACGAAATTTAGGCATTTTAATCGCCTATAAATGCCCTTTAATTTTAGTCTATAATGAAAGAAAATCTCAAAAATACCCGCAATTTTAGGTTCCGTTTGCTGGTTATGCAAACTGTCGAAATAATTTTGCAAAATAGTATTTATTTATGGGTACTAAAGTTACTTTTGCTTAACACCATCTAAAAGTCGTAACTTTTTTCGTGACACAGATATGGATAAGCAGGCAAACAGAGCCTGCGAGCAAAAGTCAGTTTGTTAAAAGACCTATTTTTATTTGTATTTTGTGTATTCTTAACTGACATGACAACATTTAGTGTACGTATTCTTTGCATCCATGCGAAATGCATATGCATGCATATATGTCAAAATTTCAAAACATTTTTAAAAATATATGTTAAGGGAATAAACGGTTGCGAAACAGCACATATTGATCCTAAGCTATTCCAGTCTACCATTTATGTTAGCCACAAGTTATACAAGTACAAAGCCTAATTTAGAACAATACTAACGAACACATTTAGTTTAACTAGGGATCGAATTGGGTAACTATTACTTTGTTGAAGTTCTCTTGTACTACACTAATTATAGTATAAAGGTTATATACTCGGATACTGGTATTTAACAATGGTATCTCATCGCGGATAGAAAAAGATTGAGTAATTTATGAGTATATATTTTAGATTAATAAGAAAAATAGTGCTGTTTGTTAATGTATCGGCAACCGATCAACGCAATCGTCACATAGTCCACTATACTGTAAGGCTGCTTAACAGTTCATTCGTGACCACAAACGGTTCAATTCAGTCGATAGAAATATTAGCTTAATAAAACATCTACATCTAATAAACTCATTATCAGTAATAGTTGTATAATGTATAATTGTTCAATAAATTATTAATCCTTTTAAAGAAAAAGTTGAACCGACTTCAAACAATAGTAACAAAGAGCACTTAAAATTAAATAATATTAGTATAGCTGAATAGGCCAACTAAACTCACTGCTCAAATGAGACTGCAAGTTTTCGTAGTAAACAAAAATATCATCTATGTATGCAATGCTTAGACTTATTGATTTTTATTGATTTATCAATAACTGCATGACTGATTTCAGCCGAATTTAAATGGGACCACCTCGGAAGTCAAGTCAAGTGTCACCCTGTGACACAAAAAAATAACTTTCCAAATCGGTTTAGGTGTCTTCGAATAATCGGTGAGTAAGATTACGACGAATTGAGAACCTCCTGCTTTTTTGAAGTCGCTTAAAAAAGAGAATTATAAAGAAAGAGTTATTTAAATTTAGGATGATTGCGAAATAATTGTAGTTTTAGTGTCTGTGGTTAACGGCAAATGAGCGATCGAATCTTTTTTATTTTAATCAAACAAGGCTATCTCTTTGAAGATTGAGAATAATTATGTAATTAATGTGTTTTTTCGAAGGTTGTTAACAAGATAATTAATAAATAAGCGTTGAGATAATGTCGTATTATTAAGTTAAGTACTATACTCGTAGATAATGTTAATTTGCTTAAGTGATGTTTTAATTGATTTAATAGGTAGGCAGAGCTATTTATTTACATAGCCAATAGCAATTTTATAATATAAACCTTAAAATTTGTTTGTTCATTGATTTGCAACCACAGACGTTCCATTGATTCAGTGTAACATCTTTACAAGATTCAATCGTGAACTATGTGAACTCATTCAAAGTATTGTTTAAATAGTATGGGATTACAAGGAATGTTGACGCGGTTTACCACAAGCTTAATAACTGCATAATATGAATAATTTTATAAGATTATTTAAGGAGATAAATTATTTGCAGTAAATGGTCAAGCTCAGGGCCTCGTAGGAATTAATTGAAGAACATTAAATTCACTTATAACTATTTGTACATCAGAGCAGCACAGCGTAGGACCTCCACCAATAACTTACACGGGTGACCTTATAAGGAACATGGCAGATGCAGGCTGCTTCTTGGAAATCATTGAAGGAAGCCTATGTCTAGTGTCTCTCTTTTGATTAATTTCGTTGCGGGTACCAATATAATTTAACCGTTCCTGGGACTTCCAAGTGTCATAACTCGGTGTGTTGGTGGGTCACTGCTGTTGATCCTGGTGTACAGGAGTTACAGTAGTTGGCGTGTAGGAGGGATTAGTCCCATTTACAAAAAGCCTATGTCTAGCAGAGGATGCCTATGGCTGAAACGATGATGATGTGCAAACAGAAAATGCTCAAATATTTGACTACCCTCCGTTTAGTAACATTTTTGGCAACATAATAAAAGACAAAAAAAACGTTAAAGCACACAAAGTAATTGATTTACGAATACATTACGCATATGTCTATCTTTGAAGTTGAAATACAACAAAGAATGAACCATCTGAGCAGAGATTTATATTTGGATCACATCCTGTGTTTAGAAATTGCCAGTACAGAACACTCATCTAATAGCCACAAAAACCACTATCAGGATGTAGTAAAGCAAAATAAATATACCTATAGCATTACATATAGTCATCATCGTCATCAGCCTATTGTAGTCCAAAGCTGGACATAGGCCTCTTCAACCGAACGATCCTCGGTTTTTTGTATCTAGCTCATGCCAGCCATCTTGCGCAAGTCCTGACTCTGCCTGGCCTGTAGGAGTTCTACTACGTTTGCCAAGACGCGACGACTTACATATAGTGTCCAAACACTATTACAAACCTGAATTTACAGATGTGTTGTATAAATTTAGTAAAAATCTTTGACGAAACCAGAACCAATAACGCAAAGCTTTTCTGGAAAGATTACTTAACTAGTTGGAGATGGCTCTTAAAATTATTATATATTAATATTCAAAACGTTATGCCAACTAAAAGGGCTCTCTTTCGAAAGCTACAAGGTGAAAACCATAACTCAATCCCCCAACATGGTACATTTGACCTTCAAACAAAGGTTTTTCCCATAGCAGGTGATAACGTGACTGGCAAGCCGAACAGTCTACCCGCAACCATAACGTGCTCATTGAAAATTGAGACTTCAGGCCGAACTGCATTATCAATGTACGAATGGGTATGTACTTAGGCAATAAAAATGGCGAATGGCTTCAGAGAAAACACGTACTGTAAGAATATTTTTGGAGGGACGTGTAGGCAGTAAAGAATTTAATGGACGGACTGCAATTGTAGGTATGTTTTTCGGCCTATGTATTTCTAAGCTCAAATTTTTAGAAAAAGAGTTAATATAAAGTTTTAGAGCTGTAGTGAGGTGAAGCGTTTCGATTAATTTTGCGATTAATTCGTAATCATTAGTTTAGCTATGGAAGTATTATCGAATATTGTTATGGCACTATAGGTTAACGTCAAAGAATTTGTTTTTATTGTTTTTTTTTTAACTTTAGAACTATAAGTCAGTCATTTTACACATAAAAATAATATATACAATTTATATTATTGACTTTTAGGAACGGCTAATGGACCATCACATAGTGTGTAAAAAAAAAGTAAGTAATGTGTCAAAAAGGCTGTTGGCCAATTATTAGTACCGAAAAATGAATTTATTAGGAATATCATCACATCAACAGCCTTTAACAGTCCACTGCTGGACATAAGCCTCTCCTTAGAAAGGAGGTTTTGGCCTACTATACCACGCTGGCCAGACGGGTTGGTATAGAGTTTGTGTCAAGTTTTCCTTCTCTCTGCAGTGCTGTTGTTCTGCGTAGGTTTTTCTCTTAGTCGGCTCTTACGACACCCACGGGATGAATAGGGGTGGTGACAATCTGTATTCTTAATCCGTCACCACACGAACGGACACGGATTTATTAAGGACGTAAGACGCTTTATAATAAAAATTTAGATGTATGAACCGTCACACTGACACCGACAATACAGTATGAAACAATTTTATCAATAATAATAATTGCTTCACCGTTTCATATTTTCAGTTCCTATCTGATCTTACAGGGCTTGATTCAATTTTCTTCTTACCACTCGAATTTATACGAGATTCATTTTACTTGGGTTCATTTTTCCTTTCAACGCCTGATTCTTATGATCTTCGACAACGACGCAATAAATTCATTTATAGTTGCATCAGCAATATCGATAATATTGTAAAATTTCATATTTTTAATGTGATATCGATATTGCTTCGTTATAACATCAACATCATAAGTAAACTGTGTAAACAAATAAAACACACGCCCTCAAATATTGTAAAAAACTCAAATGAAAATGATTTAGCCCTTCATTTTACTCGTAATAAATTATTATATAATGCTCTCCAAAAAAAAAAAAGAAAAATAGAATAAGAAGTAACCACTTAAACGAAGAGCTGGATAGATAAAAAAAACTGGCTGGATAAAAAAGCGCTGATGGTGAACTAGAAAAAAATTAAGAGTTGAGAGGTGGTTCATATACACAAAAACACTAAACGTATTACGTAAGAATTTGAAGAAACACTTAAATTTAATTCAAACGATATGATGAATAAATAAGTTTATCATAATTGTTTATTTTTTAATGATGTGCAAATGCATAAAGGAGTTAATTGTAATAATGCATTAATTTTGCGAAAGGACCTGTACAGTTAAGAGGTCTTTGGAGACGGTGTCTTGGTCCCTCTAGTCAATGTCGATGGTCTATTTTTCTTTTTAAACGCATGTTTATAATGTAGTGTATACGGTTTTAAGTCCATTAAAGTAAATAATCATGGACAAACGAGTGCAAATGCGGTTTATGTATCCTTATTTTACGATAGCTGTCAAATGCTATCAGTCGTAAAAACGAGTTGGACCGACAGTTTTATGTACCGTAGTGACCTGCGCCTAAACTAAAAGATAGGTCAATTTATAAATGGAATATAAGAATTTACTATCAAATAATTTGTTTCGATGTTTTTTTTCGAATATCGATTGTCTATTATTTTTTTAAACACATGTTTCTAATGTAGTGTATACGGTTTGAAGTCCATTAAAATAAATAATCATGGACAAACGAGTGCAAATACGGTTTATGTATGATACAAAATGTTTATGTATATTTTACGATAGCTGTCAGATGCTATCAGTCGTAAAAACGAGTTGGACCGACAGTTTTATGTACCGTAGTGACCTGCGCTTAAACTAAAAGATAGGTCAATTTATAAATGGAACATAAGAATTTATTATAATAAATATATTATTTTTTTGATAGTATAATACAATAATAATAATATTATAATATTGGAATAACAATTTTGGCCTGGAGTCAATTAAAATTTACTAAGCCAAAGGTTGAGTTTGATTCCTATCTAGGACAATGAATTATGTGATGAGCACGATTATTTGTTCTGTATCTGGGTGTTTATCTATGACGTGCATCATGTATTAAGATATACTCGCATATATGAGTATTTCATGAGAAGTCTGGTTACCATGGCTCAGGTTCTGCCTGTCCCGTTCACCGGGTGTAAGATGCGTGATGTTATTGCGACTGCACGGATGGCGTAGTGGTTTAAGCGGTCGCCACGCCGCTTCCTACTGCGCCGAGTGTTGTGGGTTCAAACCCCACATGGGACGACACTTTGTGTGATCTACAGATTGTTGTTCTGAGTCTGGGTGTTCTTTGTGTCCGTTTCATATATGTTTGTAAAGTCCCCCGCGACACAGGATATATTCCTAATGCGGGAGTTGTTTTTTTAAAGATAAAAAAAAAATACATTTATTTCCCAAAATAATATTTTTCGAAAATAATAAATGCTCAATTTTGAAAACTGTCACCTGCTTCTAGTAATGTACCTTCAATGTTAATATAAAAATCAATAGGTAGAAAAATAACGTCATTCCGTCCTCATGTACGCTCATGATATATGTGCCTCAGTTGCCCACGCCCCCCATGCCTTAACGACTGTTCGAAGTAGTTACCAGTTTCATCATACCACTGCTGGGCACATGTTGCAAGTTGTACAAGTCAATAATTATCCCTCCTCCCTCACGAACACGCCCTGACGATATTTATGAAGGAATTTTTAATATCCGCCGGTAGAATGCATCATAGTGTTCTGCGATGTATACAGACAAAATTCGGAGAAACTCTGAAGATTATGTTGTAAAATATTTATCGTGCCCAAAATTAAGAAAATGATTACAACTTGAACTATCCACGTATAACCTTCAGTACCAGGTCAAGTTAACATACTTATTACAAGATGCGTGTAACTTATTTTTTTAAATGACACAACATTTTTTTTATATTGTACCATCTGCACTTATTTTTAGGTATACATGTGTGTTTACATAAGAAGAAGTGTATAAACTAAGTTATCAAAATTTAACGGTCCTTTTCTAAAAAAATCGTAAAAGTCCTAAAAAATTTTAAAGACAGCTCCCATTCTAGTAATAAATCCTGTGTCTCGGATGACTTTACAAACATACATGAAACGGACACAAAGAACACCCAGCCTCAGAACAACAATTTGTGGATCACACAAAGTGTCGTCCCATGTGGGGATCGGACCCATAATACTCGGCGTAGTAGTAAGCGGCGTGGCGACCGCTTAAACCACTACGCTATCCGTGCAGTCTAGTCTGCCTGTAAAATAAGAGCAGGCTAGTCGCGCAGTGGAGTTAATTGTTGAGAGTGGATAATATTTATGCCCTCTTAACTCTACTGTGATTGTAATGATAATAAAAATATTTTTATCGTGGAAAAACTAACAATTTCACATCACACACATCAACAATCTATTATAGCCCACAGCTGGACATAGACCTCTCCTAAAAAAATTACAATTTGTATGTATTTGTGTACCTAGTGTTTAGAGAGTAAAAAATCATAATGTCAAGAGAGGTTCTACTGAGGAGATCAAGAAAATGATAAATGCGCCACAAAAATAAACATTGCTGTGCGTAAAGAATGCTTGATAACGTAATTCACATAAAATTATACAAGGAAAACTTCCTCTGAAAAATATGTAGTGGTAAAGTTTACTCAAAAAGCTATTTAATACTTAAATCTGACCTTCTTGTATACATAAACCAATAACATAATTTCATAAGCCTTGCGCATCCATCTCGCATGTTGTATAGCTGTCAACTCCATACGAATACGTTAGCCTCTCGATTCATGTGTCCATCACATCTCCACGCACAAAGGGACAGGCTGCTGTCAAACCTGACAACAGATTGCACCTCACCTTAATGAGTATTAAACGGCGTTACTTTGATGAGCAATTTGTTCGGAAACGCTGACACGACAATATTCCGGTGCTTCAGATAAATTGCCGATTAAGATTGTCGCGGTTTAAGTCGCTTATCATTTAACCGCTTTTGCTTTTAAAAAAATATAAGGCGTAGTATCTATTTATGTAGCTGAATGTATTATACGATTAACATGAATCAGTCACACTTAATTGTTAGTAAAATGTATAAAAGTGAAGACCTGTAATTGGCTTTCAAATACTATTCTACTGTTAATCTGTTGATTTAGCTGTAAGTCTTCCATAGAACAAATAAATGAATAATTTAGAGCAAGGCCTATGAAATATTAAATTACTTTATATATTTATGTTTTATGGATTTTTACTTTAAGTTTAATGGAATAATTACATATGTACCAGCCCAGGGTTGTCAATATTTTTTCGTCTCATAGAAAAGCCTTTGAATAAAAAATATATTCCACATTATCTACAGTATGAAGATCCAAAATGAATAACGATATGTTATAATACAGTATTATATTAGTTAATATTAGTATTATATCCCTGGCTTTTAGTCGCAATTCGACAGACAGATGCATGGAGATTCATGTGTGAAGTCAATTGTTACCAGAGTTGGATTATTATAATAAATACAGATACAACAGTTTGATAAGTTTTATATTAAAAAACAAACAAAAAGTATTTAACACCTCAGTAAAAGTTTTCTCATGGATATCAGGAGCAGGAGGCCGAGCCGATCCTAGAGGATATTCAGCAAACATGTGCGGATGGGTTTTAGCGCTGGCTTCGATACGCGATTTTTTCTTTTTAGGTATGATCAACTGAAAACGGGTAATTAATACAATCTGATACGGTATT